AAAAGAGAGAGTCAAAGTTACACTCTAAATAAAAAGTAAGCAAATTGCTACTGGGCGGTGAAGCAAATTTACTACAGTTTTGTAGAAAATCGCCACCATACCGGTGAAGTCATATATTTATAGACACCGCCCAGTAGCAATTTGCTTACTTTTTATTTAGAGTGTACACACACGGAAAAAATAATCTGGTAATAAACATTACCGAAAAGCATAAGTATGTATATGACTCTACCAAAGTAGTAATGATAAGTTGTACCGTGCAGTAATGGCTTGGTAATAAAGTATTAGCATAATCGTAACGAATTTTTAACTACCTGGTAAAATTACCAAATTTATTACCGAGAAATCATTACCTGCGTGACTTTACCAGACTATTTAGAGCGTAGCAATTTGGAATGTTGGTCTTTCGCAAAATTACCTTTGTACGACTCTCGCGTAGTCACCTTTTTTCGGTACTTTTTGCGATTTTCTTGCATAACTCACACATACTCTGCGAATACACTCTTTTCAATTGTCAATAAATAAATACCTTTAAAAAAATAAATAAATAAATAAGATAAATTAAACAAATCCATGAAAACCATACCCAAATATGTGATTTTCAATGGATTTGCGAGATTAGAGAAAGATTTGCAAAGTCATATTTTGCGAATCCACTCACAACACAAATACATATTTACCTATTTTGAACTTCGCAAGTTTGCTGAATGAGTTGCGATGCGAAATAAGACGTTGTCGTGAGTACGCCCAACATGAAAGTTAATCCAATGACGACAATATTGTTATTTTTCGTAATTTGGAAAAATACCAGGGATCTCATTAACTTAAATTTTTCAACGTAATTAACAAACCACAGACAGACAAAGGGGGAATCAAAACCCATACAAAAACTTCATTTCACACCGCAGCCAAATTGAAAGGTTCCATTGTCTCCATAATTAATGTGAAAAGCAACATTTTTACCTGAGCAAGTGCGTGACTGTGGCAATTATCTAAGCCCACGATTTTATTATCCACGAATTACTGAAAAATTTAAGCTAAACCAGGAACAACAAGGTTAAAGTTTGACATACTTACATACCTGCCAGCATTTCTGCCAACTAAACATTTCTAAAAATTCACAATATTTCGTCAACTTCCAGTCGGTCGTTTAAACTTGGCAGGTGAACTCGTTCGTACATACGTGATTGAATTTTTCCCCAAATTCCATTTGCCCCCCGCCCCCACTTTATTTCATTCAGTTTATCTACATACTTCTTCAATACGTCGTACCTTTAAAAATGAATAATTTCGTCGCAGCAATTGATCAAGGGACTAGCTCGTCACGATTTATGGTAATCTTGTAAATCTTGTAATATATTAAAATCCTTAGTGCATATATACATAAATACATTGTAGGTTAATACGCGATTTGATTATCCCCGAATTACGGAAAAATTTAAGCCAAACCAAGCACAACGGTTAAATTTTTACATATTTACACACTTGCCAGCATTTCCACTAAGGGGCCACCCGTATATTACGTCATCACAAATTCTAGATTGTAGTGCCCACCCACCCAACCAACGTAAACATTATTTAGGGAATATGGAATTTTAGCATGGGAAAGATAGGAAGACCAAAACTACATATCCACCCAATAAAATGATGACGTAAATGATGGCATTTCCTGTAATTCACAGTATTTCTTCAACTTCCAATCAGTCGTTTAAACTTTGCACGTGAACTCGGAAATACTCGGTCATTTAATTTTTTTCCCAAATTCCATTAGCCCCCACCCCCATTTTATTTCCTAGTTTACTTCTTGAATACCTCTCACCATTAGAAATGAGTAATTTTGTCGCCGCAATTAATCAAGGGACTAGTTCGTCACGATTTATGGCAACCTTGTAAATCAATCCATTAAAATCCTTACTACATATTTACATAGGCATAATCTAAGTTATCAATTTTATTTCGGAAAATAAATTACAATCAAACGTGCCGAACTGATATTGCAGCAAAGTATCTAAATGCTGAAATAAAATGGCATTATCTTGATAATAGGTATAAATAAATATATACATATTTACATATGCAGGTTTTTGAGGCCAATACCGGTAAATTGATAACCTTTCATCAAGTCGAAATTCCACGCTGTGCTCCAAACCAAGTAAGACATAAAAAATTAATTAATTAAATTCCAAAAAAAATTTAAAACTGGTGGAAAAAGTTAAATCCAAACCAACATACACAGTATAATTATTTCTTTATAATTTTTATTTATTCCAAACTATAACTTTGACATAGAACAAGGGGCCATCCATATATTACGTCATTAAAAATTCTCGATTTTAGCATCCACCCACCCACCCAACGTATACATACATTAAGGGATAGGTAATTTTACCATGGGCAAGATAGGAAGATTTAAACCACCCAGTAAAATGATGACGTAATATATGGACGTTCCCTAAAGAGATACGTTAATTTAATTTTGCCTAATTGTCAGGGTATTCCGACCCCGGGTTTTACTGGGTTTTACTCGGGTTTTACTAGGTTTTATCTCAAATTCAAATAGATAAATCAATCTAATCAGTTTCCAGGTGCTTATCTAACTCTAATTAAGCACTCTGAGCAATATTCCGTCAATTTCTATATTTATTTAGAATTTTTCTTTATGATCTAAAAATCACAATTTACAGCTAGACTTGGAGTTTGATCATATTAATGATTTTTGGGTGTGTTTTTGGTATTTTGCATTAGTTTTATGGTAAATCTTGATAAAATACATCAATTTAACATATTGGTGTAACATTATAAGTTATATTAGTTCACCCCAAACATTGAGTAAAACCCAGTAAAACCCCAAAACCCAGTAAAACCCAGTAAAACCCGGTAAAACCCCGGGGTAGTTGTTTTCAAGGTAAAACCCGGGGTTTTTCCGGACCCTGCTAATTGTTTATTTACAGGGGTGGGTAGAGCAAGACGCCAATGTTCTTCTCTCTTCTATCTTAACCTGTATCGACGGGTGTGTCAAAAATTTGCAAGACATGGGCCACTCCCCCTCGCAAATAAAAGCTGTTGGGATAACAAATCAAAGAGAAACTATCATCGCATGGGATAAGGTTTCAGGAAGTCCGTTGTACAATGCGATTGGTAAATATGTATTTACGTAATAATTAAGCTTCGTGACAAAGGAAGGATTTTTTTTTCAAAAAACTCAACCTGTTCCGGATCTGAATTTAAAAAAATCTCACATATCGATAAATTACCATTGTTATCATAATTTATTGATGTTTTGTAGTTAATTACTAGTTAACTACAATTTTGTTTCAAAAAAGGATATAGTTGTAATTAAGGTTCAACTACATTTTCCAGAGTAATTGAGCAAAAGTAATTCAACTACTTTCTTATATTGAATAAGTAATTAAATAACCAACTATTTATCTACATTTCAACTACTCTTCAATTCCACCATTGCTGATGTGCGTTTCTAAATTTTTCTGTAAATTATCCTATCAAACTCAAATGTGGCAAGCCTCTTAAACCAGAACGGGATACGTTTGTTCCCTGATAAAGTTTGGGCAAAACATTCCATTCGTATTTTTCACCACATTTCTTCATCACTCTGTAAATAAACCTCAAAAAATGTAAATTTATCTCCCACCAGGAAAAAATATGCAAAACTACCCCAAATCATTTTCATTTATTTCAGTCTGGATGGATACCCGAACAGTTTCCACGGTGCAGGAAATTTTATCAACTAAGAAACAAGAAACTGAAGACATCCGTCGAATCTCCGGCCTTCCGATGAGCACTTATTTCAGTGCCACAAAATTAAAGTGGCTCCTTGACCACGTGCCCGAAGTAAAGCAGGCCGTGGATCTGGATCGATGCCTTTTTGGCACAGTGGACTCCTGGCTAACTTGGGTAACATTAATTAATTAATTAAAACTTCTCACTAATTAAATAAACCGTTACAACGCATGTAAGCAAGGGGTGAAAGAAGTGTGCTATCCGTCAAATTGACCTTAAAATGACATTTCATGACCTTTGACCTTGAAGAGTGTGACCCACAGGGTCCATCTTCGAACTCGTCCTGTCCCTTGACATTAGGAGTTTACGTTCAAAATTTCAAGTCTCTATGTCTTTCCGTTCAAAACGTATCGGAGCTACGGACAGACGGACAGACAGACGAACATAACGATCTTATAAAGGGCTTAATAATTAGCCACACTATAATTATTTTTTTTAAGAATCTCACCGGAGGATGTAACGGCGGATTGCATGTGACCGACGTTACTAACGCTTCTCGAACCATGCTCATGAATTTGGAGACGCTACAGTGGGATCCCTACTTGTGCGAGTAAGAATTACACCCAAATTAATTAAACTTTAATAATTAAACCGTAAACATGTGCATAAGCTAACCCTGATTTTTCCAATTCAGCTTTTTTGGAATTGATGTCAAACTCCTGCCTGAAATTCGGTCTTCATCCGAAATTTATGGCCATTTACTATCCACTGGACTGGCCGGTGTTCCAATTTCAGGAGTGGGTAGATAGATATTCATCTTAATGTATTTACATATATCATCACGTTCTGATTTAAAATTCCCGCACAGATTTTGGGCGATCAACAAGCCGCTCTTGTCGGCCAACGGTGTTTTAAACCAGGCCAAGCTAAATGTACGTATGGAACGGCGGGCGTTCTCCTGTTCAATACGGGATCAACGGTAATGCTTGCTTTCGAATAAGAGAAGACATGCATATTCTGTAAAATCACTTACATGAAAGCATACCTGTTCAACTTTTTTCATTCAAAATTCAGTCATCCCGATTTCTATCTGAAGATTTTCATTCAACCTCACTAATTTTCTTTCACAATCACTTCACTTCATCATACTTCATTTCTTACTTCGCCCCATGTATTAAGTAAGCATAGGGGGAAAAATGAAAGGAATGCGAAATTCTTTCATTCACAGTCACTCATCCGAAATGACTGAATCTTTCCCCCATTTTCCTTTAAGTCACAGGAAATTCATTTTCATTCACTATCATAATCAGCCACATGAATGAAAGTGAACAGGTATGTATGAAGAACTCTAAATTTAACATTTTTACCCAATTCTTTCCCTAGATCGTGCCCTCCACGCAAGGTCTTCTGACCACTGTTGGGTACCAGTTGGGACCCGACCGTCCCGTCGTGTACGCCTTGGAAGGATCCATCGCCATTGCGGGGGCCGTCATTCGATGGCTCAGAGACAATCTGGATTTCGGTGGGAGTTACGAGGAAATGGTGAAATTATCCGAAAGTGTGGAGGAGACTGGAGTAGTATTTTTTGTTCCCGCGTTTTCCGGATTATTTGCCCCTTACTGGCGATCTGACGCGAGAGGGTGAGCTCCAATAAGGCATTCAAAATCGAGTTTTCCGATTCTGTAAAACCGGTTTTCGGTTTAAGCGAAAACCGGTTTTACAATTTTCCAAATAAACGGTTTTGCAAAAAATCGGGTTTTACACGCTCGAATCGAGCGTGTAAAACCTCGATTATCGGCTCGATTAGCGGGTATCTCGATTAGCGGTTATCGAGCCGCTCGATAACCGTTTTTCGAGTTTTAATAAAATGAACCTTTTGTAGCAAATATGTATTTAACGCTTCTTACTGTTGAGATAAGAACTAACTTTCTGCAATCCCTTATTACCAAGTTTACATTTAATTTTAATTGTGCATTCGATTATTAGTTATTATATTTTCAAAAGTTTTCAAGTTTTCACTAAAACCACGCTTAAACTGGGCTTGCACAGAATCAAAATCGGTTTCCTAAGATTTTCCAACATCCTATTAATCAAAAACCGGCAAAATTGCAGCAATCGGAATACCAATCAACCCAATTTTGGCTAATCCAGTCAATCATTGCACAATTCAAGGTATAATAAGTATTCCTTTCCACTAATTTCCAGCCTTATCTGCGGTCTTACCGAATTCTCTACGAAATCCCACATCACTCGAGCAGCCTATGAAGGGGTCGCATTTCAAGTGAAGGAAATCCTATCAGCCATAAATTCCGAGGTTGGTGTCGTTCCAATCTCCTCGCTCCGAGTGGACGGCGGGATGACCGTTGTCGACCACTTGATGCAACTCCAAGCCGATTTCTTGGGGATTGAAGTACTCCGAACGGAAATGGGGGAAATGTCCGCGTTGGGTGCGGCAATGGCTGCCGGAAATGCGAAAGGTGTCCAAGTTTGGGACATTTTTACACAATCTGATTCCATACCGGGGCATGCCTTTCAGCCCAGAATTACTGCCAAAGGTACATACATAAATGCATATACAGGGCGGTTTAAATGTCACCATACCTGTTCACATTCATTCAATTGTACCAAAATGAATGAATGAATGTATGAGTGAGTGAATAATTTATTGAATGAATGAACAATTCAACATTTCAAAATATGTCACCATACCTGTTCACTTTCATTCAATTGTACCAAAATGAATGAATGTATGAGTGACTGAGTGAGTAATTCATTGAATGAATGAACAATTCAACATTTCAAAATATGTCACCATACCTGTTCACTTTCATTCAATTATACCAAAATGAATGAATGTATGAGTGAGTGAGTGAGTAATTCATTGAATGAATGAACAATTCAACATTTCAAAATGAATGAGTGTGTCTTTTTGTTCATTTCTTTTTTGTCATAGGTTAAATGCATGGGGCGAATGAATTAATAAATGAATTATTCAGTGAATGAATGAGGAATGAATGAGGTACGAATGAATAATTAAAATTTAATTTCCAAGTAAAAGCATTTTGAATGAAGTGGAAAAAATTGAACAGGCATGAAAGTCACGCTCCAATGGAAAATTTTTCAAAGGGAAAGCTTATAAATCTCCATTAATTATAGAGAAATTTTTGTTGATTATTCAAAATTGATGAAAAAATTCTCAAATGTTGAACTTCCGAGGCAAAATTTTGGTAACTGATGGAAATTTATGAGTTTTTCCCATAGGAAAATTTCCCATTGGAACGTGAGATTTAAACCACCCTGTACACACAATTTTTGACGAAATAGTAAGAAAATTATGCTTTACGTAATCATTATGATCTCTTCCAGAACGGGAGGCACGATATGTCAAATGGAAAAACGCAGTTGTTCGAACTTGGTAAAGTTACACTTAAGGATAAGAAGTTTTCGTCAATCACCTTGTTTCACTAGTTCGTATCAGAATTGGAAAGACTTTTATTTAATATAGAAATAATCTCGATCGTGTGATATCCGTAATTAATTAAGGTACCTATAAATATGAACATAAGTCAGCCACAGTTACCTTTCACCTTGTGTTATAATAAAGTTATGCGTATACTAAATATGTATTCGCCTAGATCTTGTATAGAGAGATATTTCTCATTAAGTATACGCTATTTAGGAAATTTTGTCTAGCTCATGTCCTATTTTTATTTTAAAAAAATTACACCTTCTCTGGTTGATTTATCATTGGAACCCATTATGTACGATTTAAATCCCAGACCCAACAAGATTATAATTCAATTCGTACTTAAAATGCAATATTGGCCAGTTTTGGTTAAGTACTTAAACCAGGGTTGCAGAAATCTCACCTCACCTTCATAAATCTCATCTCACTGAGATATAATGAGAAATAGTGAGATATGAGAAATATGAGATATATTGAGATTTGTGAGTCATGCACTAGCGCCACCTAGCGGACGGGGTCATGAACTACAGGTTTATCTCATTATTTCTCATATTTCTCACTCAGCCCCAACTGAGATGATTGATATAAATCATTAAATCTCATGAAATCTCACTAGGTGATATATACCACTTGCAACCCTGACTTAAACTGCAATAGAAGAATGATATATCAATGTCAAGAATGGTATGTATGCTTACTAATCCTAGCTGAATAAATGCCTCGTCATCGGAATTTTAATTACTATGCATTAAACGATCCGAATATTAAATGAAAAACAGCTCGTACTCAATCACTGTCGCTGGGCAAAACACCCAGCTCACACTTCATGATGCTAATTGGAATTCTGCGTCAATTTATCCATTGTTCAATACGGATAAACTTAAATAATACATCACTTTCGTTCACTCAAGTATTTAATCAGCCTAGTTCAATCATTTCTAAATGAGCCTCGGAGATTTGTATTTGTGAGGTATTTTTCGCTTACAATGGAGGTCTCCCAACGTATGCTCACAGATTTGGACCAAACTAGTGTCAATCGATTACAAATATAAATAGTATGAAATTTGCAAATAGAACTATCTGCCAATGCGCAGGTTTTGCAAAGATATTTGCATTTAAAAGAGGGGAAAACGCGCCCAAAGGCTGGCAAATTTTTATTTTCCAAATTTGCTGTCCATTTTTCCCGCTTTTGATGCAAATATCTTTGCAAAACCTGCATATTGGCAGATAGTTCCATTTGCAAATTTCATACTAATTATATTTGTGATTGATTGACACTAGTTTGGTTGAAATCTGTGAGCATACGTTGGGAGACCTCCATTGTTAGTGACATCAACATAGGTTGTAAAGGAATATGTTTTATCATCTCAGGAGGAGAACGTCACCACCTGCCCTTCACAGATCTCGATGCCCTTTGGATATGTGGTAGGGTCCCATGAGTGTACTAAAACCCTGAAGTGGTTTGACTCCATGGCCACATTTGCGCCCGCCACACCCACTCAAAGGCGCTAAAAACACGAAAAAAGCCCTGTTTTCATGTGCTTTAAATGTCACCAAAAATCCAATTTCGCTCGGATTTTGATAAAATTTGCATTTTTGTGATCCCAGATACTTGTGTGATCATATCCAGTAGTTATCTCAACTTTTTTGAAATTTTGAATTTTTTCGAATAATTCATCAGCTCGAAAATTTCGAAAATTTCAAAAAAGTTGAGATTGCTATTGGATATTATCAAGCAGGTATCTAGGATCACAAAAATGCAAATTTTATCAAAATCCGAGCAAAATTGGATTTTTGGTGGATTTTTGAAACTGATAACTTTTGTGATTTTCATCCCTTTGAGTGGGTGTGGCGGGCGCAAATGTGGCCATGGAGTCAAACCACTTCAGATTTTTATTACACTCGTGGGACCCTACCACATATCCAAAGGACATCAAGATCTGTGAAGGGCAGGTGGTGACGTTCTCCTCCTCAGTTCAATCAATGTCATGAATAATGCCGAGTCGTACATATGTGTATTGAATTTATCATTCACGGTCTGGTTTATGCAAATTATTTAAATACTAGAGTAGAGGCCCGTTCATGAACGGGCTCTAGGCCCCCCGTGGGGGTGTGCCCCAAGAAAAATCTACAAAGTGCACTTTAATTCCCAGCGGACAGATTGTCCATTGTTGTACCACATGTACATACATATTGCCCAAGTCATACTGCATTTCAACTTTATTGGTCACGGTACAATTTGATTTCCCTTAATTACTTAAATTCCCGTCGCGTGGGAGTGACTGCGTAGCTAACTACTTAAATACCCACGCACCACGGTCCCGTCAAGTTCCACCAACCCCGATAACTTCCACAAACCCCTTTAATTTCCACAATCAAGCTATTGACAGATTCAGATTCAGCGTTAAAAATACATTCGAATTGCTATGCGACATCACGAATAAGCCACATTTGGATACCACGGTCACGGCAAGGTCACGGGGGCCTCGGAAGTCAAAACTATTGACGGCGTTGGATTGAGCGTCAAAAATACATTCGAATTGATATGCCACTTGCTATGGGTGGAGTTTCTCAAACTAAAATAATTAAGTAATAGCGTTTATCAAGATCACTTATCATGATAACCACTATTGATGATGATGAGTGAAGTGATGCGTACTCATGCATGCAGTATGAAAGGGGTAGCTGCATGTACATGTGATGAGACGGCATGCATTTCTACAAACGCGTATGCAACTTTGTCTGCTCCAGCTTGAGGGCGCAGCCAAGTCATTTTCAGCCAATCGCTATTCGGCTTCCGAATTGGCATTTTATGTAAGTGATATCGCACCCCAGATAAGACTTTAATTTGGTTCATATATTGGGGTGGTGAACATGGGCGGTTGGCGTAAGAGTGAGTGGTACGTTTGATAGTGGGACGGCTGAGGTAGGTCTACGGGGTTGCCATTACTTGTTCACGTGGGAAAGGTGAGTTCGTGGGGTGTTTCATGGCCCCCTCAAGCGGCCACTTATACCGAGCCCTGTAATGGGCCATCGGTTAGTTTATGGTCCCTGGATGCTCCACTCCAGCCTAAAACCGTCCTGTCCACGACACCACGAGCTCACTCATTTAAATGTGAGAATTTTCCTCTATGCAAATCGCATATTACCTCTGCCATACATTTGTCGAGCCAGGGTGTCTTAGCTTCACAGTCCAGGCCAAATGATGCCAAATGAGTTATCTTCCCAGGGCAGATAATGGCAATTTAAATTTTATGAAAACAAATCCAGGTATAAATTTATCTTACATTAGAACTGCAGTTACATAGATCTGACGGGGTTAATTGTAGTTGAAATTAAACCATGGTTATGTTGATATCATTTAACTCTGTCACGGGTATACATCACTATTAAAACATGGAAAATTGTTTAATTCAATGTGAAATACGAAGCTTATGTAAAACTCTTTTGCTACAAAGCTAATAACTAATTTATTATCAAATATCTCGAAAGTAAATCTGAAAACCCTGGAACTGGTTGTACTCAGATTAAAGAAGATTAGATTAATCAATCAAACCTATGTTTAATCGTGCTCAAATATTGTAAAAGTGACCTCCTCAGAGCAACTAATTTTCAGTGTTTATTTGCCAATGCTCCTGATATGTAAGGACAATTTAGTTTTCCTAGCATAGTTTGATTTTCTGGACGGACAACTCTTATGCTCGTATCGTATTGGACGTGGCGACATCGGTTATCAAAGTTCTATTGCTAACAACAAATCCCTTAAAGGTTTCCTTGCTTGCATTACTTAACTTGGTAAGTGAATGGCCAGATATTCTAATCTAGCAAAATGTTTCTAGGCTGAACTGCAGTAACTACCATGGTATCTATAATGGCACCCCTTCAAATGAAGATACTTCTAATTCTGGTCGTCCATTTCGCTTCTGGATTTGTGCAACATTCAAATGCCGACAATCAAGCAATTTTGCAGTATAATGGTGAAATTGGTGTGTTAGAGCAGGCTTCGAAAAGGGTAAAAATCGCCGGTACTGATAACGACTTGGCAGGCATAGGCGGTACATATGGGATTTTAAAGTACATAGCCAGCCGGCCGAATCAAATCGAGTCTGATCATTTTCCACCTTCTTCTGTTTACAAATTCGCTAAGCATCCGCGCAAATCACGTTTGACGATATATCAAATGTAAGCGCTGTCCTTACCGTTTAAAACGCATAGAGAATTTACCACGACAGGAGCACAGAATGGAAGAAGTAACCGTCATCGAGATCTATTTGTTACTAATTTAGCTCGCTTGATGAAGGAAGGAAATTACAAGGAGGCGATACGGTTATCTATTCAGGAATATCAGGATAACATAGGTGTCGGCTTCGATGAGAACGGTAATCCAAATAGTCAGGCCGATCGTACTGACACATTTGATAGATATAAGCCAGGAATTTTAGATGCACTTGAAGTACATAAAGAGCTGGGTATGATTGACGAGGATGACTTCGCAAAACTTATGACGATCCAGTTGATAAAATTGAAAACCCTTTTAAAAATACAGATGCGAGAATAGACAACATTGCGAAAGTGAAGCAAGGGACGAAACGTTCAATACGTAAAACAAAGAAGAAGATGAGTGCTATAGACAAAAAGGGATGTGTAGACTCCGAAGAAACCATAAGTCCCGAGTTACAAAACAGAATAAATAACCCTAAGGAGTTAAAAGATTTGAGTTCACCAAGACCGGTAAAGAGTAAGCGTGCTCAAGCGATAAAGGGTAAGCGTAGTACCGCGATAAACGCCATGTCTTCCAAGCTCAATAATGCAAAACTATCCGATAAAAGTCTACGTCCCAACAATAATGTTGGACACGAAGAGGCTCCTTTAAGGCAAAAGTTTTGTTAATCTAGTAGGTCTTAGACCATACACGATCATTCTTTTTATTTTGGCTCTATGTCATGCCAATTAAGTAGTGTGTTTACTTATTTAGGCTTGATGTAATTGTCTCGTAGGATTGAAGTAACCTGGATTTACCAAAAAACATACGAATGTGAAACACATATGTAGGTACATATGTGTATAGTAAATTTAAACTATCAGTTCAAACAATCCAAATATGAACATGACAAAACTAGAAATTATTCAAGGGTGCAATATTTACTATGATGCCACAAATTTGCCTAAATCAGAATGCCAGTTGGCATTCAATGTGAATTAAAGCCATACATCAATGTCATACACAGATATTTAAAAAGCTCCGTTCAATCACTGCCAAGCTGGCGGTGAGGGATTTGTGTTTACGAATTTTTGGCTGAGAAATATCAAAGTTGTAAGGGAAAATATTTCATAATCTTACAATGGAGGTCTCACAACGTATCCTTACAGATTTGGACCGAACTACTGTCAATCGATTTAAATGAAATTTGCAAATGGAACTATCTGCCCAGCCGCAGGGGTTAGCAGAGATATTTGCATCCAAAGCGGGAAAAATGCATTGGAAAATGAAAAAATTTGCCAGCCCTGGGGGTACGTTTTCACCTCTTTTTACTCAAATATCACCGCTATACTTAAGCATTGGCAGATTCATAGATCCATTTGCAAATTTCATACTAATAATATTTCTGATCGATTGACGCTAATGTGGTCCAAATCTGTGAGCACACGTTGGGAGACCTCCATCCTAAGTATTTGAATTCGCCTTACAACAAAATACACAGGTGAAAAATTTAAGGGATTTTATGCATAAATTTGGC